AGTAACAAGATTTAATATATCTTTACTTATTCTGTTGTTTGAGCAAACATCAAATTAAATTGTCCAGTTTTTCAAGTACCTTCCTAAGCAGTCCAATTAAAGTGACCCAACGAACATCATGAGGCAAGATAAATTAATATGTTTCTTCATACTCAGCACTAGGCCAGCCATAATAAGTTTACATTTAGTAGTCATTGATTTTTTATTATTATCCTTAACAACATCAAAATATGACCAAATGGGATCTTTCTTCCTTCCTGTAAACAAAAAAAAACATGTGTTTTGTATAAAATTAAAAAGTACATGTTTTTTTTTCAATCCTGATTACTGACATGCCTTACTTTTTCCCGAAAGTGTGTCTGCTTCTCAAGATAATGTGACTAAACTTGATAGAGAATGGCGAAATTGAGTCATACGCACTTGCCCTTTAACAACGAAATCCCAGTAAATTGACCTCTTGTGTAAATAGGTTTTTGTTAAATAAATAATCGAGATGGTTCACAAACATTTCCAATATTATGGGACATTGCAAAAAACTGCTATGTCTGTCTCACAGACAACAGCGCTGCCGTTGAAAGACTGCAACTGAGGTGCATATGAAAAAATCAAATAAAAGCATGGATGACTTTAATTAATAAAACAAATGATTCTGAATACGTTGAAGACCGCGAAATTGAACATGTTAATGAGCAATTTTTCCATTGTAACGCAATGGATAGTTTTGATTAATTCTTTTTATTTTAGCTTTAATAATTCCTAGAAATTCCTTAAATAAAGGCAAGTTGTGGTAGATCTAACAGTAGTTGTATCCCTCTTTATCAATTATCTGAGTATTATGTCGGACAGAAGATTTGATGTTTTGAAATTGTTTTCTGCTATTTTTTAAATACAAAAATAGAGAATTCCTACTTGAGTCAAGTGCAGAAATCCCAGACCCATAGTGGAATCCCCGGGCTGCCGTTATGCAAACTCACTCAGTCACAGCAGTGAACATTCGTAGTGGTGGTACTTCACTGAATCAGTATTGTGAATTAATTAATCCATAATAACGAATTGTTGAATAATATTTTCTTAATTATACAATATTAATTAATATAATACACTTTTGCCAGAAATATTTGAAAAATCAAATTGTGCTATCAGTTGCGTGCGTTTTTAGTACATCCTTATCCTAACTTTGATAATCTTTACATGGAAGCGTTCCCCTGACCATCTTTTGGAAATCACTGGTCTAAACGATTCATTCATCACTATTGGTCTTATCTTATAAATCTTGGTGTTTGAGTTATGGCTTATCTTTATTTTTTAAAAAACATTTTTCATTTAAATTCTTTTGATCGATTCCTTCATTTGTTCTGTTCAATTAGTACTCTCAATTATTTAATGGTTTAATTCTTCCAAACCTTGTTTCTGTCCGGTTTTTTTTTTGTATAAATTCAATTGTTTTGTTGTTCTTTATTATTCTTTGTTTTGATTCTTAATTATTATTTCTGTGTTCAACATTTTTATGATTTTGTGATGTGATATCATTCATAAATCATAACGAGTATAGTGGTTCACTCACTTCACTTGGTTCTCGTTCTCGCTCTTTTTGTATCTAGTTATTTGGAAGTCTATTTTTCATCTTTACTGTTTCAGATCCAAATGTCGTTCATAACGAGACGCATTAAAGTTCTTTTAGGTACTCACCCTTTTTGTTTGGAATTAAATTTATGACAGTATATAATGTCAATTTGTAAAGAACCTTGGAATACGCATGCTCGAAAAAAGAATTGAATTCTAAAAACGAGCTAATTAAATTTCATAATATGAGGGGTATAGAAGCAAAACCCGCCACGTTACATTTGTGAGAAGTTGCAGAGAGAAGTGGGCAGCACAATTTCTCAAAAACAGGTATCAATAAATTATAGATTACCAAAGCAAGGTGGCGAATGGATTAGTGTATGCAGAAGAGCCTTTATGCAAATTTTGGGCGCGAAAAAAGATAGAATTCAGAGTGTGGTAAAGATTTTTTTTAAAGGGATTAACTCCATCCGAAAAACGAGGGAGCGACCGCGTTCTAGAAAAAATCATCAAAAAAAGTTTGCTATGAGTAATTTTATTGAGTTTTAAATGTCTGGAATCTCATACTGCAGGAGTAAAATCAAGAAAAGAACATCCACCATGTGATCTTAATATAAAAAAGCTCTTTAAACTTTACGTCACATCAGTGGATATCTCTCTTATGGTTAAGGAACATTATTTTCGTTTATATTATTTGCAACCCACTATAATATAGGTTTTGAAACACCTATTACAGACACATGCTCTCTTTGCTTAAGATATAAGGAAGAGATTAGGAAAGAAAAAGATGAGGAGCAAAAATAAGAACTTAATGTTTTACAGGAATTACATAAACTTAAAGCAAAAGCATTTTACATGATTTCTTAAAACCAACAGCAGCGAGAGAGAAGTTTTTTCAATGGATTGTCAAAAAAACTTCCGAAATTACCTGATCAGAGTGCTTACTTCTCTTCCCAATACAATCTTTACAAATTTTCAATTGTAAATGGTACTTCTAATATGAAACTTAATTCTGACACCGTTTGAGCTTATGTATGGACCGATTTAGATTTGCCAAAAAACTCAAGTGTTATAGCTTCAGCGTTATTTCATAGATTATCAAAACATAAATTTTTCAGACAAATTTGAAGCTGTCAGAGTAAGTGACATAAGGCCCAGAGTGAAGACCCAACTGATCGGCAAGAAAATTCCGATTTGAAGTTTTGTAAAGATGCCATACATTTTTCTCTAAATAATGACGACAGTGATCCACAACTATTGACAAATGAGTTATGTGAAGAATTTTCTCCAGAGGAAACAACTGGGATGTAAAATTTGTTGTGTTAAAAAAGAATTTTTATGAGTTTACGTTATTTTCAATTTATAACAATAATTATGTAAATATAAACAAATAAATATGTTTTAAGTACTAAGAATCTAATGTTTATAATAATTTATTAAGTGATGTTTAAAAAAACACGTTCTTCCAAAGTTTTCTGAAATTTTCAATCCAAAGTTGCTAAATTTTGTTGCAAATCCCGCCATGTCCTATAAATAAAACCAATTTTATACCGAAACTGAACCTCAAATATTTTTTATTTACTAGAATACAAGTAAGTTAAACAGAAAACTAAAAATATCACAGGAGTCCTCTGTAATAGTTTTTCACGTTTCCTGAAAATTTTGATAGATGTGACTTGGCGGATTTTGCTTCTATACCCCTCATATACGGAATTGCACGACAGAGTCTGATTTGTTCCTATTTTTTTTTATACTATAAACTACAGGTTAAAATAATTACTATGTCAGGCATTTCCAATAAACACTTATTATGTTTATCTAACCTTGAACATTCCTGAGTGACGCGAAACATTTATTTTATCTTTCACACTGAAAGATGTCAATTTTACGACTTTCTAGGTCTTCATTTTGAAAAAAAAAAATTACTCTGTAAAGATGTAAAATATTTAAGTGCGTTTAACTGTTTACATTACACAACAAACCTTTGAATAACTAAACAAATTCTCAGAGAGAAAATAAATAAACAATTCAACACGATTTTCATTTGAAATTCAACCAAAAATATATGTCCAAGTTTCTTGGGAAAAATTGTCCCATGAGATTTTTTGCATATTCACTAATCACGAGATACCCCATAAGGTTCAAGAGGTTGCCCATGTAGAAAGTTTCCTTCATATAGGAAATTATTTTAACAATTTTTTAAACAAATTGTATAAATATTTTTTTTGGTCTTTGGTGGAGTGTTTCTTGACACATTCTATCACACTATTGGTCTAATCGATCCACAGAAAATTTTGTCCGATTTGTACATTGTAATTATTTCAAGATTTTTAGCGTCTCCTGAAATCATCATGGTGCATGCTTGAAATTAAGATCACAGATTTGTTTTTTTTTTGGCAGTATGATACCATACTCCTTGACCACTCCAATACATAGGACTACTTTCGATGCCTTGGTTTATTGTTATTTTCCTTAATTGCCCCGCTTCACCGTACTTTCTGAGGCACCAGTTGCTTGAGCTACTCGCTGTATTAGAGATAAAGGAGTTGTGTAATATCGCAAATATTTTTTTCGGTTCATAAATAAAAATTCGTTAAAGATAATTTGCCTCTCTTGGCTATGTACCACTTTCCTATTGTTATTTTCCATGTAAAACCTCACCACTTTTTTCTACTTATCAAAAAATGCGAGGAAATATCCATATAGGAAGGACATACAAATATGTATTTTAGGTCTGTAATCAAAACATTGGAAGAAATTTGAGAAAACAAACGCGTATTTAAAACAAAAAGTAAAAATCCGAAGATTTCTTGATTGAAGATTTGGAACCAAAACTCAGATTCTTACCTACATCTGTGCCCTCTACAATTTACAAAGCAAGCAGACGATGAATCGACCGACATGAGAATCTAAAATTGCATTTCACTCATAACGATTCGTCTAAGCAAGAACCTTTCAGGATAAAATACGTATAATTGAATTGTAGAGGCACTATTCGTGAAATCAAATCGTAACTGTCATATCGTCTCCTTGATTTTTAAACTTAGAAGGCACAGATTTACGTAAGAATCTGAATTTTGGTTTTCAATAAGTAGAAATTATTATTTCAATAAGTTATTTTATTATTACTTCGTTTGACGGAAAATATTTGATTTCACGTTCAGGGCTTCTTACTCAGTCGTCCTGATGAGTCCTGCAAGGATGAAATACATATAAGCTAATTGCAGATGCACTATACGTGAAATCAATTCTTAACTGTCTTTTCTACATATTTAAAAGTTGTTAATTGTTGCTTTATATACCCAACTCTAAAGGATTCAAATAGTTGCCTGTTTAATAAAAAGAGAAATTTCAGAACAGTGTGTTCGTCTATACATTGCTTATAATATTAGAAATAGATAAAAATATGTATTTTAAAAGTACTTTTTGTTTTTTAGATTCTATAACCATCAATCATCGTTCGTTCATGGCGGATTGGACCCACCAAACCGTGAAACTAGCCCTGTCATCGGTCAAAAGCAAATTCATCAGAAAATTCAACAGTTGAACTTCAGGGACTGTCATGCTAAGATCACCCAGGTCGACTCTCAGGTGAATATCTTGTCCACCATACAAAAACAATTCTTTATATCAATATAAATATTAATGTATTATTGTTGATATAATTTTCCCTAATAATACCTTACGTTTTATTTTGCCTATAAAGCTATTATATTTCTAAGAATTTTCGTTTTTCAATTTTCTTTCTTATCAAAAATTGATCTGACTTAATTTTTTATCTCTTAATTTTGACAAATATCTCTTCAGAGTCGTATAAAATCTTATGATTACATTTGTTTTCTTTAGGCTACTCTTGGCAATGGTGTGGTTGTGCAAGTGACTGGAGAGCTGTCAAATGCAGGCCAGCCTATGCGCCGTTTCACCCAGACGTTTGTGTTGGCGGCTCAGTCTCCCAAGAAGTTCTACGTCCATAATGACATCTTCCGTTACCAAGATGAGATCATTTCCGACGAGGAATGTGATGATGGCGTTCATTCTGAACCTGAGGAAGAAGTTTCCACTGGGTGAGTGATTATGCCTATATTTATTGGAAAACCAGAGAAATATTCTCAACCATGGTTTTTTTGTACTATATTAGTCTCTTTTTCTGTAGACAAGGGATTGTTGAACACCAACCAACAATAACTCAGGCTGCTATTGCTCCATACTATAATCCAAACGCAGGCCAGTTGCAGCCTAGTATTCCGGCTGTACCAATTCACCACAACCAGCAACCTCCACCACATGTAATGAATCCACCGGTACCAACTGTCAATGGAGCCATTCATCCGGATGAAATTAATGTTATGCAAGGTAATATACTTTTTATAATAAAACATTTTGTATATATTTAATATACATTTTGTCAGAAATGTTTAAAAACATGCTTAACCTTTATTTGTTTTTGATAGGACAAGTCCCAACTCATGTTCCTGCTCCTCAAACTCAAGGAATCGGAACTCCTCTTCCGGCTATGCAACAAGGACTCGGCCAAACGCCAATCCCACAACAACCACCAATCGAAGAACCTCAACCACCCATGGAGGATTTGGTTGAAGAACCTTTAGACAACAGCTACCCAGAACAACCAGAAAATGAACAGGAACAAGATATTGGTATCATTGAAGCGGGTAAGTATTTATTTACAATCTTTAGATAAAAGTAACTAGATTTAGCCTTTTAGGTTACGAAAACGATTATAAAGACGCTTTCCCAGCTTCCAATGAACCCAAGACCTATGCAAACCTTTTAAAATCAGGCCCTGGTCTACCTTACTCTTCCCCACCATCTCAGACATCAGCTATGCCGATGTCTCAGAATTTGATTCGTCCCGTATCTCCACCAGCCTCGGGAGGATACCAGAACTCAGGATTGCGCTCTAATCAGAACAATGCAAATAATCGCAATGTTTCTGGCGGAGGGCCAAGACCAGGCCAACAGCAAAGGATGCCCAACAGGCAAGATTCAGGAAGAAACAGCATGGGAGGAGGAAGAACCATGGGAAATGATGATATGATATTTGGTAAGATCATTATTTCCTTTTAGAAATGTTTTCTAGTCTGTTAAATTTTTTTTATTGTAATTTGACATAAATTTATGTTCTAGACTCTTTACAAACTCATTATTTTGCTCATAACTTAAAAACTTAATGGTATATGTTAAATGTCAAATAGTGTTGGAGAACTATAATCTCCAATCAAATAATTATATATCCAAATGAATAATTATATTTCGTAACAAATAAATATTTCCGCGCCAGTGACCTAAATAAATCCAAGCTGCATAGATTTGTTTCTGGGAATATTAGTCTCCGCCCATGGCGCTTACTTGACCCTAGACCGGCTATTCAAAATGCATAAACAACATATTTTTCTGCGGGGCAAGGGGTCGAGACAGAGTGAATTAGCGACATTCGTAGGGCTCACACCTATTTTTCACGTTCGGGGAGGTTTTCTCCACGTTGCAAGTTACGCAATAAGCCGGGAAGCCGTAAAATGTGAACAGTCTTATGGTGTTTTCGGGAAATTTCGTAAATTGTAATTTTCAAATTAAGTTCCTACGATAAGTTATACACTCACAGTTTATAAGTTCTATTTCTTGCCCTTTTTTCAATTACAGTTTCTCGCTAAACAAGCACCTGTTTTATTTCACTCTATATCAATTCAACAGGCCAGATCAAAGCACCTTTAAAAGTCCATTTAAGTTTCTTTACTGAGTTGTCGAAGGCTAGCGGACTAATTAGACTTACAGCAAGTACAAAACCGCTGAAAGAGACACTGTTGGCATACAAGACTCTCCATGGAAGGGATGTTGAAAACCGGCATCCCTCCAAATAGTTTGCCAAAAACAGTTAAATGACGGTTAGGATTGAAGTTTTCAGTACATTTCTTACTCTCCCAGTACCTGGGAGGTATTTTTTCGTTATAATTTTCATAATACAAAGCACCTTTTATCGGTTCTTTGAGTCTTGATTTCTTTAAGCCCTCCTCTTTTATTCGGGCTTGGAACCAGCTGTGGGCATGAATTGGGCTTCTGAGCTACTTATTCTACCCAGTCCTCGCGCTCATAACCCCCAGGCAGAGTTAACCCCCTTAACTAACACAGTGCATACCAGTACAAAGCGGGGTCAGACAGGGGGACTCTTTAAGCCCACTTCTCTTTAATATAATAAGGAATGAAATAATACAAGCAGTACGTAAAGGTCATGGTTACAGAACGGGGAACAAAGAAATTCAAATATTATGATATGCAGACGACGCCGCATTAATCGGCCAGACAGAAGACGAGCTCCAAAGATTAACACACATCTTCAATACAACAGCCAAGAATAACAAAGCACCTTTCTAATTCTAACGCAGCTAAGCATCTATCTACCTTACTACCTTTCGGATTTTTAGTTACCAGTTGATCGTCGAGTAGGTTAGTGCATCAATTTCTCTCAGTTTTGAGACTTACGATAGAGGGAGGATATAGAGGATACGCAGGATGATGAATTTGATCCCTTAATTCCAAAAAATCCTGATGTCTCTCCGCAAATTGCAGTAGAAAGTACAAATAAGTCCAAAACAAAAAGTGCTATATATGCTAAAAATGGGCGTAGGTGGTGTCTAAATAGTTTCCATAGCAAAAATACCAAGATTTCGAAAAAAAAAAGAAATGATCAACAAAAGATATGGTAGATCCAAAAAAAAATTGGGGTTTATTTTTTAGCAAAGAATTATTAGAAATAATTGTAAAGTACACTAATGAGGAAATCGAAAGAAAGAAAATTACATATAAGATCGAGCAATGGTATCTTGGAGCAACGGATGTCACACTGAGTGATTTATTGTCACCAATTTTTGGACCTCTTTAGGACAACCATGAACAAGAACCGTTTTGAACTTCTGATCAACTGTTTACGGTTTGATAATAAGGAAACAAGAGAAGACAGACAAAGATTGATAAATTTGCTGCTATCAGGGATATTTGGAATATGTTCGAGAAATCCTGTAGACAAATGTACACCCCATCGGAATAATATGTAACAATTGATGAGACGCTTTTAGGATTTAGGGGCCGTTGTCCTTCAAGATGTATATCCCAAATAACCCCAGTAAATATGGCCTCAAATTCGTTACGATGTGTGATGCGAAAACATATATGTGCTCTGTTAAACCTTATATTGGAAAGGAGGAAAGAAAAAGTCAATGTTCGATTCCAACACAATACGTGCTTGGACTAACAACAGATATTCATGGGACAAATAGAAATTTGTCATCATCTTTTTTATTTTACCAGTTTTAAAACACTTTTTGATAAAAACGTTTGGTGACGCAATGTTTTCTTTAGTTTTATAGTTTAAGTTACGAATACGGCACATTTTTAAATTTTCTAATAATTGTTATAACTTTGTTGTTAATAAATCTTAATTTCAATATCTAATGTTAGTTAAAACCTATTGAACACACTTTTTAATGTAACAACTAAAGTTATAAATAGCAGGGATTGAAATATAAAGAGCGAGTTTATCAATCTTATATGGCGCCACCTTGTGGTTCTAGGGTTAAAGATGCGTCTAGTTATTTCCGGTGTTATTTGGCACCACCGAAACACCATTTTTTGAAGTATTGTCCATTTCTTACCCCAATAACATTCGTCATGTCCAGAGCCATACTATAAGTAAAGTTATTTTGTTAGTTTATATTATACGCCACACAAAGAATATTCTCACCACTTTAAAATTTTAGATTCAGTATCGTCGATGAAGTCGTCATTCGATTCTTCCAGACATTGTAGTACTGTTTCTTTATCACAATATTTAGTAAGGTTAAGTAGTGTCTTCGGTATTGCAATTTTACATAACTTTTATTCTGTATAAAATGATGTGTGTTCATTGTAGAATTAAGTAACGAAACTCTGAATGAAATGCACAAATTTATTTAGTTGTTTACAGCTTAGGGTATAAAACTATACTGACTTAATGAATACAAACTATATCTTAAAAACCTCTCATATCAGCGTGAGTGTTTATCATCTCCGATGTAGGCGTGACACATATCATTGCGATTAGTAATAGATACAAAAACAGACACATTAAAAAACGATAAAACATACACACACAAAACGATAAAACATACACACACAAAACGATAAAACAGACACATTAAAAAACGATAAAACATAACTATGGGGACCAAATATAATTATTTGCAACGAAATTTCGCTTTGTGGGATACAACTGTATTCCGCACCGGTCGGGAAAGGTTAACGGTATTCAAAAACAGAGGTTTTATGGTTTATTTTGCAATACCTTTTTTGTGTAGTAACCACTTTTAGTTAGCCTATCTCATTTTGTGTATTTTTTTGGAAAGTTGTCTATTGACTTCAAATCTCTAAATAGACAAATTTTTAAGTTACGAGCAAATACTTATTAGAAAATGTATGTTTCTTTATATCCTACACAAACACTTATTATTTTTAGGAAATGTATATAAACTTTTGAATAATTTTCAATCAAATGTTTTCTTTTTCTTATTCATTTTGAAACTCTCAGTTGTAAACCGTTGCAAATAATAAAACATCAATTATATGATATCAATTGTCTTTTAGATGAAAGACGAAGATCCCAAAGCCAAAACTTTAACGATGTCAATCAATTGTTCTTGGGTAATTTGCCACACAATGCCACCGAGGACGAGCTGCGAAACATCTTCAGTGATTATGGCAACATCATTGACCTGAGAGTCCACAGTAAACCCCCCAAATCTGGTGGACCACCCGGAGCTCGTGCTCCACCCAATTACGGATTCATCACATATGAGACCCAGCAAGCTGTTGAGAATTGTTTGAGAGCGAAAGTAAGTTAAATGTATAGGTCACTTCTAATGAAAAATATCGATATTTGAAAAACTAATTTTGTATGATTATAAATTTATCAGTAAATCTAAATTTTTTGTATATGTTTAAAATCAGACTTTTTATATAAAAAAAAATATTTAAAAAATTTCCTTTATAAAAGGTATATTAATAAAAAATCCTATCGGGCTACATCACACAGACATTTTCGGAGTAACTATTCCATCAACAGTGCTATCTGGATATATATGTTTTGAGCCACTTAATGCATGGGTTAAAACCCTTTAAATGTGGTTTGATTAACTTTAAATTACATCTTTGGTATTTAAAAACTATGTTTAAGTTATAAAAGGAATTTTTCACATGGTAACGTAGGACTCCACTGGGGTTGCTAGTCTTTAGAGGAAGTGTCTGTGAGGACTTGTTGATAGCAACTTGACTCATAACTTGTACCCTTCAAGGAAGATCACATAACTGTAAGTGTTGCCCCAAAGGATCTGAAAATGGTTTCCGTTTGTGTCTTTTAATAATACATTCTTTTCCATTTGTCATTGGCAAATTAATATGTCTCTCACAATCTCTAATGGAGGCAATTGGAAACGCCGTAAAATAACCCAAAATGTTAATTTCGTTTATGCCTTTGCCCACTAGTGGTTTGTTTATATTAATTTTTGCCCTAAATTGACCTAAATTGTTTTTAAGCAATCTTCTTACATCAGTTGCATTTGGTCTATTATAATATCTTTTTGCATAAAACATGGCAAGTACTTTCAACAATTACACTCCCAGTATAGAATAAGATTTAAAAAAATCATTGTTAGTAAATCATACATTTACTATGAAAACAAACGGGTAAAGACAACTGTCAAAACAATACATATAAACAATTAACGTTCTAACAATAAAATATTTGACAGCCATGGCCTACCCTTTACTAATATTGAAATAATGTACCAAACGAATTGGCTTAAAAAAAATACAGCGTAAAATGTAATAATATACAGGGTTTTCTATTTAACCTTCCTACTCTCCCGAAGTAAATGTTACATTTTTTGTCTATGGGTACGGGTGGACCCAGTGGATAAAACTCACCTGTTGTGAATTAAATTCCAATTTTTTTTATTATTTCGTAGAAGCTTTTGTAGTTACATGTTATCGATGTATCAAAACTAAAAAGCATTTCTTTTGTAATAAAAAATATAATACAACTTTATATTCAATTAAAATTATATATTTATTCAATGCAACTTTTACAAAAGATATTTGAATGATCAGGACAAATAAACCTCTTACATACTTGACATCTTGTATGAGATATTCTGTCTTTTTCCCCTCCGCAGTCTTTACACCTTCCACGTTTTGGACATTCATCTGCAGACTCGACAAAGGCTTCCGAAAATAGAACCCATAAAATCTAATCAACCTTCTTAGAAAAATAAACAAACCAAACATCACATACATTTGGAAAAACTTCTGGGTACAGGTGGACCCATAAGCAACAGATGTGTTTCTTTCATTTCAAAGAAAACCAAACTGATCTTTCAAAACGCAAATATGTTAAATTGTATATAAACCTTATCTTAAGGATATTATGAAACATCACGTCTCAAATTTACGATATAATAATATAAATATTTGAATTTTACTACTGGGTCCAGGCGTACCCAGAAACAATACGAAGGTTGAAAGTAAGCAACATATATTTGATTTAAATTGTGCATGTTGGCGGCCAAGTTTAAAACACCCGGTATGAAATATCACTAAGTTGGACATATGGAGTTAATGGGCAAGCATTTGTTGATTATTGATAACAATTTCACGTAATTAGCCTTATTAAAGGAGATATTGTTATTCAATGTGTACAACTTCTTGTTATAATTGACATTTGGCAATGATTTGCACTTTTTCCTTTTCTAGTTTCAATTTCAACAATATTTTTTTTTGCAAATTTCAATGATACATAACAGACTTCCCTTTTATCTCCTAATTTCCTTATTATTAAATATAACTTCTGTGTATTTCGCAATAGCTGCTATTTTTTTCAGTTTCGCCTATCTAGCAACTTAAAACCATTATGATATCGCTGCAGAATTTTTGAGTTTTCCTTTTTGTTTACCTTTTTGTGTAATAATTCACCCCTTATTACATAGATTTTAAATAGATAGGTTTTTAAATATTTGCAAAGTTAATGAAATGCATATTATTAAAATTATGTTTATAAAAGTGCCAGTGACATTTATGTTGTAGTAAATTGTATTGCTTCAATGTGAAGCGACTGGAAAGGCATAAAAAATAATAATTACTGTACTGTATTGCCACAGTGTAAAGTATCTTACACAAATACACTGCGCTCCAAAATTACCGCATAATTTTATTTGCAATGAAAAAAATTTTGTTTGTTCTTTTGTTCTTAAAGGTTGCTTTTGGAACATCTGATAAAATTTTTTAACTACCTAACTAAAAACTACCTAACATCATAAATAAATGACGGAATTAAAGAATTTAAAAAAAATTGAAAAATTCAAGAAAATTAAACTAGTAGCGAATATTGCCTTCTCTGACATTCATTACTATTTGAAGATGATCTCTCATACTGAGAATTACCATTCTTATTTCATCTTTATCAATTTAATACCAAATTTCAACTACTCGCAAACACAATTGATCTAATGTATTTGGTGAGTTCAGTAGTTGTTGTAGTCACCTTCCTATGATGTCTCAAACCTGTTCTATTGATTTGAGGTCGAGACTTCTCGTAGGCCAAGCCATGGCAGTAATCCCAACCTCCTGACGACATTTCTGCACAATTCTTGCAATGTAAGGCGTGACATTATATTAGATAAGCATGAAATTATCCCTAATAAATGGTGCAAATGGTACGACATACTCTTCTAAAATGTCTGTAATGTACTTGTCTGATGTAAGCCTTCCGTGATCTATTCTAACTCCACCTCCAGAGCCTCCAAATTAATCCCACCTAACACCATTACCGAATATCCACCATACTGTACAGTCCCTACAGTGTTACACTGTGCGTAGCGTTCTCCAGGCCTTCTGTACACTTGGTTCCGCCTGTCATCAGAAAAAAGACAGTGCATGGATTCATCGGTGAACAACATTTTTACGCAGTCGTCGTTATTCCAAACAACATATTCACGAGCAAAATGCAATCTATGCCCTCTATATTCTTTGGTCAATAATGGGCCACTAAATGTTCTTTCAGGGCGCAGGTCGTTTGCGGCAAGTCTTCTGTTTATCGTATTTTGGCTGATTATAAAGTTATAACTATCCAAAAATTCATTTTGTAGAGAAGTACTGGTAACAAATCTTTGTCTCAAGTGTAAGAAATGTCAAAAACCTTTCTTGGTTATGTATTGAGTCTTCTACGGTCTTGACCGGGTCTTCTTGAATTACTTCCAGTTACAGTAAAACATGTTAAGACTCTTAAAATGGTTGACTGAGAGACATTAAACCGTTCAGCGAGTTTAACTTGATGGTATCCTTCTTCGCGAAGACTAACGATACTATACAGTCTCCTTCTGACAAATTTCGATTTTCTTGCTGCTGGTTCATTTCAAAGGTTCATTTTCAAAAAACACTTAATAAACTTGAAAAACGTCTTTAAACATTCAGTACAACATATTCCAACCCAACGAAATTATTTAACGAAAACATTAAAATTATTTGATTAGCCAAGATTTTTAAAATTATGCGTTAATTTTGGCGCGCAGTGTATATTCATGGAAGTATTTTTAAACTATAACTATATTTTTTAGCCGATATACTACCCAAAAGATGATAAAACCGGCATCGTTCTGAACGTTGAAGAGAAAAAGATGAAGGGTCCGTCTTATGGAGGCGGTCGTCCCTTGGGCGGCGACAACAGGGACAATAGAGATAACAGAGACAACCGAGACAACAGGAGCGGCCGAGGCGACAACGGCAGTCAACGAAGAGGTATGGGCGGCGGCCCCGGCGGAGTGAACAGGAACAGCAGCGGTGGCCCTGGGGGTCCACAAGGTCCCAATAACAGAACGAACACATACAGCAACAGAAGTTCGGGTGGAGGGCCACCCAGCCGGGGTGGACAGAATGCCTATAACCGCCGCTAGTAGTCCGCCCGCCTCCCCCGTCGTGACTGAGTGACTAACATTGCCGCGAGTTGCTCTAGTTTGTGTGCAAGAGGAGTATACTGGCGTGAAATAGTGAGAAAAATATCGGAGCCGTGTTACTTTTGAAATAAAAAATATAAACGTTAGTGCCAATTGTGAACGATTCGCTGAAAAGTTTATTTACTTTGAGCCTCGCCCGCGACCATTCTAAAGAAGCCAATCTCTCTTACTAGTAGTTATTGTATTTATTTTGTAGTTTATCCCAAACTGCTGGCAAAGTTCAAACTTTTCTATCTTTCTAACAAAAGTTTTAGAAGTACATAACCTACAAGTATATCAAAAATAAAATAAATACATCTACTAATATACAGAAAATTCAAATAAAATTGACAAACATGGACAAAGATCCATTATTACTTAAGTATTTTAATAAAGCAATCAATGTAAATATTGAAATAATTTTTTCTTTCATTTAAAATCCAAAAGAGACAATAGGATAGTTATATCCTTCATGGAATGTTCAATTTTATAAATACACTTTTGATTTAGCTTAAATGAAATACACTATTGATTTAGCTTAAATGAAATTAATAGGAAATCAGACAATGAGAATACTCCGAAGATAATGTACGTGGTAAAATTTGTCAGTTGTTTGGGATTAACATTCGTTTCTCACTTTGTACTTATTGGCTGTGTTTCTATATGATAATTTAAGGGTTGGTTCGGAGGTTCCTTAACGTTTAGAATGGCAGATTGACGCGTACCAGTCTTTAGGACTCGTATATGTTACATTCGTTTTCAAATCCTTGTCATAACTCGAGTTTTACTTATTTCTTTTTCTGTATCGAAAGAGAAAGAGAGAGGAAAATTCTTTTGCGGTATTTTATTTACTTATTGTTTTTTTAAAGAATGAGAAATATTTGTTCAGCTAACGGAGTTGTTCCTAAATCGATAGGTGTGATTAATCTACCATGTATGGGTATTTTTTTATATTTAATTAAATATTTCTTAATTGTGAAAGTGATACTAGCTGAAAATTTCACCAATAAGAAATTAAACCTTCTTTAACAGTGCCTACCTTTTATTTTATTTTCCTTTTCCCAACTATTAAGATTTTGGGTTTTAATAATAAAAAGACAATCTAATCCTGTGTTCATATGCGATGGTAGTAAATTTTGACAATTTTTAATGATCATATCTTATTTGTACTCTTGTTAAATTTGTACATAGATTCAACACAAATGTTGTTTATTGTTGACTCACTGGTATAAAGTAAGTCATATATGAAATATAAAGACAAAACTGATTTGCCAAATACTTCTGCAACATTAAGCTTGCTTAAATATTGTTTTACTTCATCATATTGCTGCAAACTACCCACAGCATCCTTTAACTGTATATTTATATCATACATTGACACCCATGAAGAAGACTATGGTGAAGAATAGGTGTTTGTTTTGAATTTCCAGACACTTCAACAATTCATATGGGTGGTGAATGATCTGCTTCTTAAATGTTATCTATTTAGTATTATTCCACTGATTAGTTATCAACTGGCTGTTTTGCAATGTGTGCTTGAACCTAAGACTGTCATATTAAGTGTTTCTACTTGACTAATAGACACTGAGTACTTTTTCTGGTGAAATCAACCAACTACAGATTTTTTGCACTGAAATGCATGATCCAAAGTTAAAAGCTTATATGAAATAATCATATGCTGTATTCTAGAATCTTCTTCGAGGGCCTCGTATGGAAGTTCCTCTGCACATCGTTCGTGAAGTCTGTCCAATCTCATATTCTTAAGCCATAAACACTCATATCCTGGTTGGCGTTTATCTTCTAATGATTTGTCAGCTGACATTCCCTGTCCATTCGATGCATCCAAGGTATTCGCAATATTCTTTAATATACTCACATTTCAAATTCTTCAAGAATATTCAGGCTGTTAACTGTTAGCGTCCAAGTTTCAACCCAATAAAAAGTGTAGAATATTTTAACATTTTAGAAAATTGTTTCAAATTTGTAGATCAAGGAGCGATCTATCCATGCATTTTTAAAAAGTTTTTTTCTTACTATTTCAATCTGAGTTTTGATCCTAGAATAACTTACACAATAATGTTTGTCTTCACTACATACCACAATGCAAACAATCTATCCGCTATTCTGAAGTGCTGTAGCTTTAATTATTCTTCTAAACGCGATGTTGGTGACCAGATTGACCCATCTTATTCTATTCTCAGTATCTCAAAGTAGATCAGTTGATGTTAGACCAGTCCATTTCCTATTATGGACCAGTCAGGATGTATGTCTGTGTCCAGAGCATTTATACCCCTTAATCTTTCCTTCTAGAATCAACTGTGAAAATCTGTATTGTTACACATAATGTAGCCGGAGTTCGCCAATTTTCTGTTTTTTATGGTGGTAATAATTTCTTTATCTTTTCTTAGCCCCTGGAGAAAAGGAGATCCCTAACATACGTCGGTAGCACCACATTTCAGATGCCTTTAACTGATCTTCTGTAAGACTCCAGCTTTATATTCTGCGGAGGACACTAAAGACGTAACATCTAAGAATTCCTATGTGTATGTTGATATTGAAGATGGCTTGCAGATCTTCCAAAGACCTTTAAAATAGCTTCTGCAGCCCATATATCATATTTTCTCCATTCTTTCTAACTGTGTATCGTTTATTGTAAAGTGGGCGTTTATATTTATGTTCTTACTAATGCTCATTATTTTTGTATTCTGATAATTTAGTTAATTGTTTGCAACATGATTCTACATTATTCATCATTCGTTCAAGCCCCTAATTAATGATGCAACCAATATTTCACTGCATCATAGGATATGGTAGTGAAATTTTGAAAGAGTTGAGAATTTTTTTGATGGAAGGTTTTTTTAATCTCCTATGATTATATTAGCCATTTCTGTTCGTGTAGGATTCATTCTTAAACAAAATTGTCTAATTATTTAGTTGTTTTACTCATACAAGTTGTATGGCATGTATTGGTTTACTTGGGCGAAACTACTCTTACATTTTGTACTATCAACTACTATAGCACACTCAAAACACTACATATGAACAGATATAGATCATGCTATAAACAACGATGTGTGTGTGTCTTGAGGCAACTCTGAATATTCGGTAAAACATCTATTTCAATGCCTACTTGATCTCCAATAAGAGTAGAATCATTTCATAGTGATGAAATTTTCAAGAGTATACAAAATTTAAACCAAAAATTATTAATCTAATAGTAGGTATAATGTAGTCAATTTTTATAATATAGTAGACTAGTAAAACGCTAAAGGCCTTTTTGTGTAATCGTCTTGGATTAATCAGGGTAAGTTGTAGAAGAAAGAATTTTTCTCGATCTATTTATCGCTTATGATAAGGAACAAAAACGACGCGAACGACTTCTGAAGTCTGGCAAAAGGGGCTCGTGGTCATCGAAGTAAATATACTTACAGCAAGTTGGCCCTTTAGGTTGCAACTACATTTGTATTACCTTATTTGTATGTTCGCTATAGGACATGAGATCGTGGCAAAAGGACTGTATTAATTGAGTTTTGAAACGAGTTCATTCTGTAAAAATTATATCTTTGTGTCTTTCACAGCATCAAATTATGTCAATAATACATGAATAAAATGTATTTTAATAATATCAGTACAACTATTTCGATGAGCCTATCATGTGGATAAACTACAAAAAACTATCATTTTGAGGCACATTGATTTAGTGAGTTGTTTCTAAATTGTTTGCTCATTTCAGAACTCAACGTTTTGATACTTTTGCAAACGTGTCTTGGCCTATAAAATTAGTATTTATGGAAATGACTAGAATTTTCAAACAATACATGCTTGAATAACGTTGTAATACTTTGTAATACTTGCCTTTCATTTTGAACCCTTGAATTTCTTACGTTTCGTTGTCTTTATACATATTGATTTGAGGTGGTTTTTGAAATGACTTAAATTTTGAACATTTGGAATGGATAACTTTATTTTTTATTGGTTGATATACTAAATTATTTGTTATTTTGAAAATCAACATTTTAGTTGTAAAATAAGACAATAAATGATGAGGGGTGACACTGTTGTGTTAGGTTTTATAGCTTTATCGTTGATATTTATATCTATCTGCATTGTTTTAATTGTATGGCCAATTTGTTTCCTTTCTATCATTTCTTTATTTATTTGAGTATATCTATCAAGGTAGTCGCAAGATCTATGGGGCACAAATTTTAATCGATTTTAACAGCATTTAATTTTTTTTATAGATACCAGGTAACTTCTCAAGTATACTTCATGCCTAAGGTTCTTACTTACATCTGATTATAGATTTTTACTGTTTTTTTTTTTGACCTATAAGATCGTGTTTTGCTTCACAAAATAAGAAAAATATCTTTTTAAATTTTGGGGCACATATTGTATTGGTTAGTTGTTAGGTGTTCAAGTTTCTTTGTATCTTTTTGGAATATTTGGAGTTAGTTCCCCTTCCTTAACATATCTACTCATACATTGACGATTTTAGTTTTTTCCTTCTATTTTAAATGCATTTGGATCGCAGTATTACTTTTGTTTATTTTATAGTTGAAATTGCTCTCTTTTTTATGCATGATTTGGCTTTATTAAGTTATTCCTAACTTCTCAATTTGTATTTCTCTCTGCTACTGAATATTTTTGTGTATTCTTTCATTTCAAGCCTTTTATTTTCTGTCCAATGTTTGCGGCAATGATTTTCTGACTTAAATTTACGTATTAAAACAAATATGTTACATTTTTATGCAAATATATCCCAAATAGTATGAGTTACAAGTAAAAATATTTTAATACCTTTACAAATTTATAAAGTATTTCATTTTAAGAATGTTTTACACAAATTGTAAGTACAGTGATATAGAAAAAATAATTTTTTATGAAAGCAATATTTTATGCAATGTACTTTTCCACATAATTCAAAATTTAAGTTTTTATTTCTGCTCGTTCAAAATTTGACA